GACAAATGTAAACTGCACATCTTTAAATACAGATTAGAGGAATAGTTTCGCTAATCAAAAATAATTATAAATTTTAAAACAAATCCTTTAAAAGATTTAAAATATTATCTTCCAAGTGTAAATACTGTACTTTGATTATATTTTCCCTTTTTTTTTATTTGAAGGTGATTAATGGGTTATGTGTTCTTCAACATATTTTTTGCTACCTCTATCATGTATGTGGATGGTGTTGCATTTTTCGGATATGGAACGTGATAAATTAAAGTTTATAGAGTAGGTCAGTCTCGAAGACGCTATAATCCCTACCTGGTCCAGACCTACATGCATTAGCAAATCGATTTCTTCAACAAACTCTGTATTTTTAGGTCACCTGAGTCACTCAGGTGACCTATTGCTATCTGTTTTTGTCTGTCGTCGTTCGTCGTACGTCGTTCGTCGTTCGTCGTTCGTCGTCAATCGGTCGTAAACTTTTGAACATTTTTAGCTTCTTCTCTGGAACCACTGAACCAATTTCAACCAATTTTGGCATATAGCATCTATGGGTGAAGGGGAACAAAAATTGTGAATTTCATGATCCCTGCCCCCCTGGGGCCTGAGGGGTGGGGCTAAAACCACCAAAAATAATGCAATCTTTAAAAATCTTCTTCTTTACTCCTGGACATCAAGCAGTCAAACTGTTGGCATCATTGTAATAAGCATGGAGCCCTCTATCAAAATTGTGAAATTCATGGCCCTAGGGTCAGGGGTTCTGGCCCCAGGGTGGGGCTATATAGATCATATAGTGAAAGTGCATTATTTCTTTGAAAATCTTCTTCTCTGCTCCTGGGTATTAAATAAAGTTACTAAGTACATAGTTATGATGAGCAAGAGTGCCTCTTCCAAAATTGTGAAATTCATGGTCCCAGGGTCAGGGGTTCTGGTGTTAGGGTGAGGCTCTATTGATTATATATAGTGAAAATGCATTATTTCTTTGAAAATCTTCTTCTCTGCTCCTGGGTATTAAATAAAGGAACTAAGTACATAGTTATGATGAACAAGAGTGCCTCTTCCAAAATTGTGAAATTCATGGCCCCAGGGTCAGGGGTTCTGGTGTTAGGGTGGGGCTCTATATATTATATAGTGAAAAAGCATTAATTCTTTGAAAATCTTCTTCTTTGCTCCTGGGTATTAAATAAAGTAACTAAGTACATAGTTATGATGAGCAAAAGTGCCTTTTCGAAAATTGTGAATTTCATGGCCCCAGGGTCAGGGGTTCTGGTGTTAGGGCAGGGCTCTATAGATTATATAGTGAAAATGCATTAATTCTTTGAAAATCTTCTTCTCTGCTACTGGATATTAAATAAAGTAACTAAGTACATAGTTATGATGAGCAAGAGTCCCTCTTCCATAATTGTGAATTTCATGGCCCCAGGGTCAGGGGTTCTGGTGTTAGGGCGGGGCTCTATCGACTATATGGTGAAAATGCATTAATTCTTTGAAAATCTTCTCCTCTGCTCCTGCGCATTAAGGTGATAAACTAAGTACATAGTTATGATGAGGAGGTGGGCCTCTTCCAGAATTTTGAAAGCCATGGCCCCTGGGACAGGGGTTCTGGTGTTAGGGCGGGGCTCTATTGATTATATAGTGAAAATGCTTTAATTCTTTGAAAATCTTCTTCTCTGCTCCTGGGTATTATTTAAACAAACTAAGTACATGGTTATGATGCATAAGGATGCCTTTTCAAAAATTGTGAATTTCTTGGCCCCTGGGTCAGGGGTTCTGGTGTTAGGGCGGGGCTCTATTGATTATATTGTGAAAATGCATTGATTCTTTGAAAATCTTCTTCTCTGCTACTGGAGATTATATAAACAAACTAAGTGCATGATTATGATAGGCAAGGATGCCTCTTCCAAAATTTTTAAATATATGGCCTCAGTTTTTGGGGTTCTTGGGGGGGGGGCTCTATAGATTATATAGTGAAAAAGCATTAATTCTATTAATCATTAATTAATCCTGTCTGCTCCTTTGTGTTGAGCTGATAAATAAATTGCTTAGCTATGATGAAAATGGGAGCTTCGAACAGAATTTTTAAATCTTGTGGTCCTAGGGTCAGGGGTTCTGGCATAACGAAGGGGGGGGGGGGGCGGCGGCTTTTGATAATATAGTGGAAAAGTGTTAATTCTTTGAAGTCCATAGTTATGATGATGAGGGTAACTCTTCCAAATTTGTAAATTTCTTGACCCTTGGTCTTGGGTTCTGGTGTTAGGGTAAGGCTTTGTTGAATCTGTAGTGAAAATGCATTGTACCTGTGAAATTCTTCTCTGCTTCTGGACATATTGGAAGCAAACTGAGTAAAAGTTTAAATGATATGAGTAAGCGTATTTCTACCAGATTTTTAAACATCTGAACCATTGGTCTAAGCATTCTGGTCCTGGGCAGGGCTCTATTAATTTGTATTCTACTGAGAGAAGTTATTCCCCTTTTCCATTCACCTTTGATAATTAATCACTGTAAATAATGTATTTGAAAGGTTAATAGAATAAGATAATTATGCAAGAATGTTTATCGTATAATTAAAAAAGTACTTTCTTAGTTTTAATAAACAGGTAGACCTGTAAGTTATGGATAAATAAAAATGAGACAAAAATAACTTATCTTATTAAAAGTTCTTCAAAGACCATAAGAGAGGTCAATGCTAGAGGTCTTAGTATGGGTTATAAATAGTACAGAAGCACTAATAGTTTGTTAATAGTCTGCATAGTATTAAGTGGGGGACAGATTAGAACTTAATTTATGAGTTGATACTGAATACTAGACTAATTATTTTGTTGATCCTGATCTTCCTACTTCTCTTGCTTTAGGGCAACAAAGCTTCAACTATCAGTGTATTTAACTTCTAAATTGTTGTATTATACTCAGGTGACCGTTAAGGCCCTTGGGCCTCTTGTTCATGTGGTTGTTATTGTTTGTTGATGATATTATTTTAACACATAAAATCTTAGGGTAAAAATATTCACACCTATATTCACCACTAAACGCTTATTGCGTCTTTCTAAAAGATAGCAACGACATGGCTGAATTTTTCATTGGTTCCACTGGTTGTCGAGATGAATTTGAAATTTGTCCAGTGATCCTTTCAAAATATCTTGTTTTTACGTTGTCTATTTTTTTTCATCACAATTATGCACTTCACCAGACTGGTATAAATCTATCTTCTTTTCATACGTTTTCTTTTGCTCTTAGTATTTTCAAATTTAATAATTTTTCTCATTAATATTGATTATCCATTGAGTTGCGTATGATTCAATTATTTAGAGTAAATGTGCCCTTAATAGGAATGTAAAAAAAAAAATGCCACGTGCGACTTAATTTTTTTATTATCCATATATTAGGCGCGTGGGTCGAAGATAATGCATATACATTTACTATATAATGTATAGTCGAGGAACTTCGAACAATATTCGAGACATTTTCTTTCAGGTGCACGTTGTTGTTGTTGTTGCATTTTGAAGATTTTTCTTCATGGTACAAACTGTATTGCACTGCTAATAAATTTGACATTGTACATTTTAAAATTGACACATCCCAACTGTATACTAATCTTTATTATTGTCTGCTGTTAATTAAATAGGGAACCTTAGTTTTTTTTCATAATACATCTATCATAAAAATATTGTCCTGTAATGTAGATAGATTTCATTTGCTCAAACTGCAACCAGTCCCGAGTCAAGGTTATGATGTGTGTATGATATAGATATTACCCTTGTTATTTTAGCTTAAGGTAGTACGAAACACCCATTACATCTATTTTAACTACTTTCTTAAAAATTACATAAGAAAAAAAGAATAATATCCCTATATTGTCAATAACCAGTGATCTTTGTAAGAAAAAAAATTAGCTTTGACATGTTTTCGTCATATGTTTTTTTGAAAAATTCGAGAGATCCTATATATTGGTCACTTGGGAGTTTACATTTTAGAATTTGTTTATGCTGTCTAAATGCGATATGACAGTTTGTTATTAAATGCAGTGTAACCTTTGATCCATAAATAGTAGAGGGCTGATATTTGGACATATATATGAGGATTCTCCATTTTTTATCTACAGTAAAGGTCAAGGTCATATTAAGAGGTCAAAGGTCAAATATTGTGACGTCATCTACTGACTCTTTCACTTTTTGGCCATTGAATTTGTTTTTAATCGCCAAAATATCTAAAAACCATCGGTTTAATTTTCCGTATTTTGACACATTATAATCAATCTGTTGATTTTTTTTTTTGTAAAAATTGAATTATACATTTTCTCTTAAGAGAACTTAAAATGTAGCATTTTTACATGTGAATACGTATGTCCTACTTTTACATCATATTTTACTCAAATTTACCAGTATCAATATATTTTAGTGAATTTTAGTAACAAAAAGGTTGTCTATATAGAAAGCATCACACAAGTTTGCAAAAAATCAATTGATAATTTTTAAATAAGGCAATTCTCTAGTCGAATGTCTGATTTCACAATCTTCTTACAGGGGTCTGATAAGCCATATTTCAAACTATGTACGAAAAAAATGTGCGGTTGAATTTCTTTCATGTTACATATAAAGAGAGATTTTGTATCCTAGAACAAAATATCAAAGTTTCAAAAAAATCGAAATTGAGGAAAATTTTGGCCTTCCTATTCTGTACTACCTTGCGCAATATTGAAATTTTCAAATAAATTCTCTTTGACTTAAACCATGATTACAGTATTAATAAAAAGAATTCCTTAAAAAACCAATCTTGTTTACCTTAACAGATATTTAGAACTTTTATATTTAAAAAAAGCAATTGACAATGTATTTTTCTGCCATAAAGTTATGTGACGTACACTGTTAATGGTTGCAATAAAGAATTTTGCATGATTATGGATCTTCGACAGAAAATCAGAAGGACATGTGCTTTGGTGAGTCGACCCTTGGTATTTTAAAATAAAGACAGACAAAATTACAAAAAATGTATTTATATAACACAAATAGAATATGTTATGCTGGTTTCCACTCCTTTATGGTGTAGAAATCGGACATACGAGGAGTAGTTGTCTCGTTCAGTGTGAGGATCATAGGGGCATCGCTGCACGTCTGAGCGGCAATCTACAACAGGCGGATATGTATATTGACTGACCAGAAAATGCATGAGAAATACAGATGGAATAATTCTATGTTTTACAGATAGATAATAAATGATGCTTAGAGAATGTTTTCCCAAATAATATATATATATAGAGAGAGAGAGAGAGAGAGAGAGAGAGAGAGAGAGAGAGAGAGAGAGAGATGGCAACGTTTTATCTGATTTTTAGCAAAATATTTAAGGATGTACATGTATGTCTGAAACAAAGAAATAATTATACCGGAAATTGGAAACTTTATCATACTTGTGCAAAAAATGATAATATATTTGTGAAAAAAAATCACATGTAAAAAATAAATGAAAAGAACATCAAACGCAAGACTTAGCAAGAATTCAAACAAATTGTACTTCTAAAGAGCAATTTTTGGCAAAAATGCCTAAATTGAGTGTGACATTTGAAAAAGGCACTTCATATAAAAAATAAAAAAAAAAAAATTAATTATTCCTCATTTCAGTAAAAATTGTTATGCATAAGCAAGTAATATTCTCAGTGGACTAAAGCGATTAAAAATGGGTTTAATAGATACATGTACATGTACGTAAATACTCAAATCATCCTGAACCTGAACAATATTCAACCTTTTAATTTATAACCATATTGCACTTAATTTTTAAATTTGAATCCTTCAGTCAAACTTACTTCTCGTTATACTTCATTTAAAAAAAAGGACACTTCTGATAAACCATTAGTCCTCGTAATAATGTAGTAAACTGCTAATTTAAAAAAAAAAATCCTTTAATTTTATTTTGAAAGGATCACTAGATGCTTAAGTAAGTAATAGTATTTTATGAGTGTACAAACCGTAAAACCATTCCCAGAATCAGTGCAGCCAATGAAAAAGCCAGCCATATCATTGCTATTTTCGAAGAACGTTGCAACAGGCGTGTACGGCTGAATGTTTTTACACGATGATTTCACCTACAAAAATGTATCTCCAACAAACATCATGAACTACAGTATCGAACACAGATTACACAAAAATAGAGCCTCTCCATTTATCACATTCAAAAAGGTAGATATAAGAGTCAAACTTCAAATCCTCATCTATAAAATATCTACCGATAAACCCTGCATCCATGAGGTCCTCTCAGTAGTATTACATTTGTGGATGACGAAGGCCTCAGAAGACTGGTGTTTATTATTACTGGGACACAGTGACGCTCTGCTGTCCTCCACATGTATATTTTCTGCGATTGATTCAATGACACTGATCTTGTGGCCATTGCATTCCAATGGAGCCAATGGCATGGTGGTAGTGGTAGAAATGGTAGTAGTAGAAGTTGCAGTAGTTGTACTTTGAACTATATACACAAGCAGTTCTCAGAACTGAGAATTTCAAACTTTAAAGTTTGTATTTGCTTGGATATTTACATCCTTAAATCCACAAATTATTTCATTTAGCCATTGGCTGACAAATGATGATAGATACAAACCAAGATACTGAAAAAACTTGAATCTTGAATCATTCAGTATATTGCCTTATGATTTGCATCTCCTTTTTTTTAAAGGATCTACATTTGTTAATCATGAAGTTATTAGTCTCCTACTGGTGAAATCGGAATGTACTATTACAGTTTTCCTGTCAGTATTTCTGTTCCTTTGTTCGTCAGTTTGACCAACTTGTTTTTTCGCATGTGAGTCTACCTTGACGAGTTATAGATAAAGTTTGTATTGCTTCTGCTTCGATGGTTGTGAATGGAATTAATTATGGACTTATTTTTTTTTTTAATTTAAAGGGAACCAGAAAACACTTACCGATTGCTTATACAATAATCTCAGAATATTTATTTGCAGCGTTTTACGATTTGATTAAATCTAAAAAGTCTGACTCCCTGCTTTGTTGAGTAAATATAATTTTTAATAGAACACACTGTTTATTTATCAAACATATATTATTATGATCTGCATAATTGTCAATTACATGGCCTTTAACATTATTCGTTAGAAAGTACTTAAACATGACGTGCAACCGATCTGGTCTCAATCAAGGAAATCATTGAATATGAACTAAATAGCTCAAAAGGAACTAAACCACAACTCCTAGTCGGACACTTCAACTGAACCTGAGGCAGCTATCCTCTTTTTCACGTGAAGAGCAGGCAGTTCACTGCAGATCTAAAGCTGGAAACGTATTTAGTCTAAAAAGTCTGAGATCAAACAGAACTACCCAATCCACTCTACAAATGTCTTCTTTCACTTCGAGGTAAGAAAATGATAGTCAAGAAGACAGTAGTGCACTTAAAGAAAATAGTGTTCACCTGAGCTAAATATGCTTGGTATGAAAATTGTTTAAAAATCCAGTTTGGAAACTATTTCAGTTTTGATATATTCTTAAAAGGAGATATATTTGTTTGTTTGTTTGTTGTGTGTATTCACTGAAATTTGTCATTTTCTTTTACTTCCATTTTCAGATGTTTTGCGAACATTTTGCCGGAAAACGAATCTGACATGCCATATCGAGATTTTAACTGGTTAGATGCTTTCATTTGAGGGGTGCCCCATTGTTCAACGAAATTAGGATAGAAGGTTTGTTGCCTGTGGAAAATATTTTGTTACTGTGACCAGGTACAACATTGGTTGTAACACATTAAATATCTCTAGCTAGCTGCAAGACATCATCAAAATCGTTTTCTATACTTTATGAAACAATCTGAGAAGTGATCTAAACACTGAACTTAACCAAAGGCTTGCTTCTAAAGACATCCAGGAAACCTAACAGAAATAAATATTTCAGTAAACCCCCTGGCCCCCATACTCTAAAGTCGTTGCAGAAGTATAACTTATCGGCACCTACTCATTTAAATAGGCGTCTACCTGATTTTTGGTTAGTCTTCAGCCAAGGTGTAAATGACTGCTGATGATTTTGTTAATATTATGCACTCTTCTCTAATCTGAATTTGAAGTATACAGAGGTGGTAATCATATTCTACTACCTACCCTGACATTGACAATAATGACTCCGGAAGGTGCCAAAGCTGAATTCCTGATGACACTTTCCTGTCTCATCATGTGGGCAGAAACATTCACTATCTGTTAAACATTCTGAGGAAAGACAAGGGAAAAATTCATTTCTATTTTTTTTCTTTTTAGATAAAATTGATCGTGTGTTGTTTATCGTTTCATTCTAGAATTTTCACTCATATAGAGACGTCACCGTATGCCGGTGAAGGGCTTCAAATTTAGACATGTACTCGGCACTTAGGGCCATTGAGCAGTGAGAGTTCTTTATCGTGCCAACGCCTACCGTGAAACGAGTCCTCGTTTTTCAGTTCTCATTCAAAAGACCCGAGCGCTTGGTGTAGGAATGTTTACGTCTTAAATTTGACGCGGCGCGACGAACGAGCATCTAATCCAGGCCTCCCGATCACGAAGCGAACGTATTCTATGTTCTTAAAAATGAAATATATTTAGAAAAAAATTTATTTTGCATTAAGATGAGGTCCATCCCGTTTTGTACTGCAGTACTCTTTTATCGATATTTTGCACGTTGAAAGTAAAATTTAGGAAGTCTAAGTATTTGTATTTAGAATGAGGAACATTAGATTTCATCATTATATAAATGCATTTAACTCAGTTATTATATCAATGCATTCAAATCAATTTTCCGTTCTAAATATTTCGCAAAAGAATTTGCTTTGGTACATTACCATAACAACGACAGAAAGATCCACCTCCGTGATGTGAGCAATGTGGATGTTCTCCATTGTGGCATTGGCTGCTACAATCATTGTTAGATGAACAGAAAGCTGAAATAGCTAGAAAAAGAGTTAAAGAATATTTATTCTTTCTTATTACATGCATTTATATCCCATTATTCAATAAGAATCGTTGTGGAGAGTTCCCCATTAAAAACATTCACGTCTTGGAGTACAAACGTACATCACTTCCTATGAATATACATGTACTAATTTTTAAATGGGCATCAGAGGTGAAATGTTTGCAAGTGGGTAACTCAAAAATATCATTAACCACCTTTTAAAAAAATCTTATACGCAGACAATAAAGCAACAACTCCCCAAAAAATTAAGTATTTTCCCGAAAATTTAAAAACAGATAAATATTGATAAACATGGAAATTTCAGTATGTTTTTGTCAAAAAAATGTTGATGAGTAGATTTCTTGATTAAAAAAATGAATTTAGTTTTCAGAGTGAAATATAATATATGTGACTCATTCAATTTTTAAATCTTCAATCCTTAATTTTTAAAGATTGACTTCTAAAACAAAAAAAAAGGAAGAAGGAAAACAGGGAAAATAATTAAAACCATGTTGCAAACTTTTAATAACGGAAAGTGATCTGTGTTGTCTTGTAACGACAGCACAAGCTTTTTACACTATGTATTATACACGTATAACAATTCATTTTAAAGTTAACTGAAAATCTAAGATACCGTGAGTGTAAGATACCGTAAGCGTTATATATACGAGACCCTCAAGTTGTGTTTATTTTTGATATTTTAAAAAGTACTGCATATATCTGAATGAAATTTAAAGGCAAAAATCAAAATTGATAGAGGTATTAGTATATCAAATTTTGTTGATAACATACGATAATTTAAGATTTTATAGCAGTTGTGACATTACTTTTGATCAACCCCCTTAAAAAATTCAATTTCTCCACATGGTTTTGTTACGGTTCCCATAATTATTCCAGTCACGTATGAGTTATACTTTGTGGAAATACGTAGTACAAGTTAAATCACACTCCCTACAATATATGGGACTTTAGGACGACAAATAATATGTTCTATTAATTGTATATATATCTTATGATAAACCAGTATATTTACCATGTTCATTATTGGGATGAGGTCGGTAATTAGCGTTACCCGAAGTTCCTCGGTATCTTACATAGATATCATTCCCAGATCACATATTATCTCTTAACGATTATATTTGTATATACAAAGTTCAATCAGCCATAGTAACATGTTTTCGATAGTAGTTACCGATTATCCGCGCCCTAGGGTGCATGCTTTCTTTCGTCTATCCAATTGGCATGGCAGCATAACATGGCTTCTTTGCTCTAACAAAGATGGCGGGTATTTTCACTCTGTCGTGACGTCATAACAATCGAGCCCGACGTCAATATAAACCAGAGCAGATAGTCAGTTTGCAAGTTTGTAACTTCGGCTGTTACAACTCGTATCGCCAGCATGTCTGGCAGCGAGAGCCGCTGGGTAATTACTATTGAACATTAATTAATTAGTGGGAGCTGATAAATTTTGGGATGATATTTTATTTTTTTTCTTTTAATAATTATATTAAATTGTTCTGTGGGAGAAAATTAGTGGGAGGTGAAATAACTCTCCCATAACTATCAATTGTATTGTGAAGGGACTCCCAGTATTTTTGGGAAATACTTTTTATACTTCTGTAAATTTATTTATAATTCCCTAAAACTTAATTCTCCCATTTGAGAATATTTTATTCCCATTTCTAATTGGGAGAGAAATAATATTTCTACGGGAGCAAGAAATAATCATTCAAAGAGATTATGCAAATTAAATACAACAAGCAATAATAAGTTTTTATACATTTAATCCTGACTCAGAGTTCTTTTGTCCAATATACAGAATTGGGAGACCCACAAGTTGCATAAGGAAGAAAACTTCTGAACGGCAACATTGGTGTCAGAAGTGGGATCCTTCAATTTTCATTCCCATTTATCTGATTGGACAAAAGAAAATAATTATACAATAAATTATACAATAAATTTTTTATATTATAAAGTATATTAATACTCCTAAAAGAATTAAAAAAAAAATGTCACGGGAGAATAGTCATTTAGAAGATTCGGGAGAGATTATTTTCAATCCAAGATCCCAGGCAGAAGTAGAAAATTCATCCCATGAAGAACTCTTTCAAAATGAATCTTCACCAAAGCAAACATCAGCTCCCAAGGGCTCTGAAAATATAAATGAATTATTGTTAAAAGCAGTTGAAAATATGAATAGGGATGTTCTATGCATGAAGCAACATTTTGAAGAACAATTATCACAAATGAGACAAGAGTCCCATCAATAACATGGGAGGTTATCATCACTTGAGAATCATGGGGATGCTATTGGTCTACATAAATATGGGAATCATTCTAGAAGTCCCAGTCAATCACCATTTCTAGGGGCTGGGGAGAGATTTGAATCTTTCACAAACCCAATGTCCCCAAATTCAAGGGTGAACAGAAATAACAATAGCCTACATTTTCCCAATCAAGTGAAACCAACAGTCTCAATCAAACCGCAAACATATGATGGGGTAGAAGATTTTGAAGATTACTTAGCCCAATTTCAAGTTTTAGTAGAGTTGCATGGTTGGGATTACAGAACAAAGTCTTTGTATCCTGCCAGTACTTTAACTGGGAATGCTAGGGCAATTCTAGGGGAGCTTAATGAAGCTCAGATTAGGGATTTGGACTCCCTTGTTAAAGTTCTCAGTATGCATTTTGGATCATTAGAAAGGTCAGAGATGTATCGGGCAAGACTGAAAAAAAGGATTAAGGGAGAAAATGAGTCCCTATCAGAATTAGCTCAGTCAATCAAGAAATTAATCAGACAATCCTACCCGACTGCTGATCCTAACCTTACAAACATTTTAGCTCTAGATCATTTTATTGATGCTCTCCCAGACCCAGATATGCGCCTTAGAATACAGGTGGCAAGGGCTAAAGATATCGGGGAGGCTGAAATTTTAGCAATTAGATTAGAAACGCATAAAATGACAGATGCCCAAAGAGGAAAGCCAGTACATGCTGTAACTTCAAACACAGACTCTCAAAACCCTCCCAACAATAAAAATGAAGATTTAATTCTTTCTTTGCTAAAAGACATAAAAGATTCTTTGTCAGGTTTGAAAAATTCTGATCCAAAGTCCCATAATTATGGGAGATCATGGGAAAACAGATTTTCAAACAATAGGCCCAGACAGTTCAACAACTGAGAACATGACAAATATGGGTCAAGAAACAGTTATGGAAGTAGAACTAATCAGGGGAATCAATACTCCCAGAAGCCCTCCCCTCATAGAAATGACTTTGGTTTTCAAAGACAGGGAAACCATCAAACGTCGAATTCATGGGGCGGAAATCGGCGAGAATTGGGAACAAGCCCCAGAATAAACCAAGTAAAGTTAAGTAATTGTACAGGGGTTGATCCGGTATCAAATAAGTCTACAAGAAATCAGAATTTAGAGATAGGGAGTAAACCTCAAAATGAACAAAGTCCAAAAAGTATTTTAGTGGGAGACGTTCAAGGAAATGAAGGAATATTTATAGCTGGGAAAAAAGAAAATATTCAAACAACAATTTTGGTAGACACAGGATCAAGTGTGACTATTATAAGCCCCAAACTGTTTGATAAGATACAATTAGTAGAAAAATCAAGTGTTAAACCTTGTAGTGTGAAATTAAGATCAGCAAATGGAGATGACATCCCAGTTGTGGGAGAGTGTCTCCTTAAATTTAGCCTTAGAGATATTGAAGTTTCCCATACTGTTATCATTGCAAATATTGAAAACAAATGTATTTTGGGAGTTGATTTTATGAAGAAGTTTTCATGTAAGATTTGTTTGAAGAAAATGAGTTTGAAATTCAGGGAGAAGAAATCCCTTGTTTTACTGATGAAAATAGTGTAGTTGATTGTTGTAGGGTTTGTTTGACAGAAGATTTAGTGATTCCCCCAAACTGTGAATTTATTGCCCCTGCTAGGATAGAAAGTCCCAATTTTCAACGGGGCACTGCCATAGTAGAACCCTCAGAAAAGTTTATGGTAAAACATGAAGTATTGATTTCAAAAACTTCGGTAGAAGTAGATGGGGAAAATGTCCCAGTACGTTATTTGAATTTAGGTGACAAAAGTTTAAAGTTACACAAGGGTAGTGTAGTAGCCTCAATAGAAAGGGTTGAAGTTATTGAGAATGGGGAAGTTGTGAAAAACATAAGGGCTTATTGTAATGGGAATGACTCCCATATGCCCGATCATTTACAACAAATTTTAGATAGGGTTCATCCTAGTATTAGCTCTGAAGAAAAACAGACTAGCAAATCTTTTAAGGGAATTTGAAACAAGTTTCTCCCTTTCATCATCTGACATGGGTTCAACAGATTTGGTAGAGCATAGAATAAATACGGGAAATGCACTCCAGATTAAGCAACCTCCTAGACGTATTTAGCTAAAATGGCTGAAGCTAAGAAGGAAATAAATGACATGTTAAATAGGGGGGTGATGGAGACATCAGACAGTCCATGGAGTTCTCCCATAATCCTTGTTAAGAAAAAGGATGGGACAATCCGGTTCTGTATAGACTAGAGAAAGTTAAATGACGTCACTATTAAGGATAGTTATCCCATTCCAAGAATTGATACAACATTAGATGCCTTGTCAGGTTCAAAATTGTTTTCTACCCTAGATCTTAAGAGTGGGTATTGGCAGGTTAAAATGTCACCCGAGGACAAACCCAAAACAGCTTTTTCTATACCAGGGGGAGGACATTGGCAATTTTTAAACATGCCATTTGGTTTATGCAATGCGGGAGCAACTTTTGAAAGACTAATGGAAAGGGTCTTATCAAATCTTTCATGGAAAATATGTCTTGTTTATTTAGATGACATAATAATATTGTCTAAAACTTTTGAAGAACATATTGACAATTTAAGACAAGTTTTTGGGCGACTGAGGGAGGCTAATTTAAAAATGAACCCAAAGAAATGTGTTCTCTTGCAAAAAGAAGTTCCCTTTCTGGGACCTATTGTGAGTGAAAATGGGATAGCCACTGATCCCTCCAAGATTGACTCCGTCAACAATTGGCCCGTCCCTAGAAATGTTAAGGAAGTTAGAAGCTTCTTTGTTCATACTATAGAAAATTTATATACAAGTTCTCAGATATGGCTAGGCCATTACATAAACTTACAGAAGCAAATAGGAAGTTTTTATGGGATAATGATTGCCATGTAGCATTTGACAAGCTAAGGCGAGCATTAACTAGTTCTCCCATTCTTTCCTATCCTAATGAAGAAGGCTTATTTATTTTAGATACAGATGCCTCTAACATAGGTTTGGGAGCCGTTCCTTCCCAAGAGCAGGGGGGAGAAGAGAAAGACATAAGTTATTACAGTAAGACATTTAGTGCAGCAGAACGCCGCTATTGCGTTACTAGAAGAGAGCTATTAGCTATAGTGAATTCAATAAAGCACTTTCACCACTATTTATATGGAAAAACATTCAAAGTTAGAACAGATCATGGCTCCCTAACTTGGTTGTTGAATTTCAAAAATCCAGAGGGACAAATAGCACATTGGTTTGAATTTTTGTCTTCATACAATTTCAGAATTGAATATCGAGCAGGTCGCACTCATAATAATGCGGACCTTGTCTCAAGGGAGATCTAGACTGTAAGCATTGCAGTAAGGCAGAAGACAAATTTTCTTTCAATCAACATTTGCAAAATGAACCTCCCAATGAAAACCAATGCCAAGTAGAAAGGGAAATAATATCTGAAACTGAACATAATGATGTAAGTGATAGTCCCAACATTAATAGTGGTGTACCTGAAAAATGTTCTGTTACCACAAGGTCTAAGGGAACTCCCAGTGGGATAAGCCCTACACAACTAGAACAAACTAAAATTCTTCTAGAAAATGGAAAACCAGAAGATAGTATTAAGGCTTTACAAAGTAAAGACTCAGATCTAAGGGAAGTAATAAAATGGGTCAAAGCTAAACAGAAACCTCTTTGGGAAGACATATCCCATCTGAATGAAACATGTAAATATTGTTGGACAAGATTTGATTCTTTGCATTATAAAGATGAAATACTGTATCATAAATGGGAAAGTGTGCAACCAAAATTTCAAACTGTTCTCCCAAAATTTATCATTGGGAAAGTTATGAAAGAAATACATTGTAACATAACGGGCGATCATTTGGGGTTCAATTAAACTCTATCAAAGGCCCGAGATAAATATTTCTGGCACAAAATGTCCCAAGATATAAAGCATTTTTGTAAAAGCTGTGACAAATGTGCAGCTAGGAAGTCTCCTAATAAAACCCCAAAGGCCCAGTTACAAAAATACCTGGTAGGTGCTCCTATGGAGAGATGGGCAGTGGATATATTAGGTCCTTTACCAATGACTTACAGGAAAAATTCTTATCTTCTAGTTGTGGGAGACTACTTCACCAAATGGGTTGATGCTATCCCTGTTAGATATAAGAAATCAGTTACAGTAGCTCAGAAGTTAATAAATCATGTGGTCTCCATTTTTGGAGTCCCAATGCAAATTCACTCAGATCAAGGGCAAACATTTGAATCTGATGTTTTCAAGGAAATGTGTAAAATACTGGGTATAGATAAAACCCGTACTACTCCCTATAGACCTCATTCTTATGGGATGATAGAAAGAGCAAATAGAACAATTGAAAATATGCTTTCAGCATTTGTTAGCAAAAATAAAAAAAATTGGGATGACCTGATACCCTTACTCATGTTGGCATATCGATCATCTTTCCATGAGGCCACAGGGATAAGCCCATGTGAAATGGTGTTTGGGCGATCGGTCACACTCCCAGTAGATTTAGTGCTTGATAGAGTTGATCCTGAAAAATATGAATCAAAATTAAGTTCTGAATACGGCCAAAATCTATCAGAAAAATTATATAAAATACATGAATTTGCCCGAAATAAACTAAGCATATCTCTTGATGCTATGTTACGGGATTACAATGCAAAAATTCACCATAATCAATATGACCCAGGAGATGCTGTATGGGTCTTTTTCCCAAATCAAAATGTGGGACTCCACAAAAAGTTATCCCTTAAATGGAAGGGACCATTCATTGTTTTACAAAGAATAAACGATGTTCTTTACAAAATAGGGAAAAATGCAAAACATAAGGGGGATATTATCCACCACAATAGATTAAAACCATATCTGGGAGTAAATAAGCCCACGTGGTTCGAATCTCATGCATAGACTCCCTCTGTAAATAATGGAATATTTGTATAATACAAATAAGTAACTCCCATGCAACTTAATATCTGTCATTATGTATTTATCAGATCCAACGTTTCAAATGCCTTCTATGCGATGGGAAAGAATTTACGCAATTGGCCCATGCAGAAAGACACATTACAAGCTGCCACTCTGGATTCGCTTTCAAATGCACTGTGTGCGGGCTACTCCTAAACCGTAGAGACATGAAGAAGACGTGCCCCAATTATACACTACAAATAATCAAGAAATCTACTGGAACATACACTGATGAGGAGAAAAAGGAATTCGAAAATTTTGAGAAAGAAAGGGGAAAGCACGTAGAACCCTATATGAAAGAGGTAAAGCCTAACATGTACAATGGAGGAAAAGGGATGAAAAGAACCCTCCTGATCGACGCTCCTACGAACGTTAAATCCCGTAAAGTGACAAAAACTATAACCCAGAAACCTACCAAGGACAAATCCAATCCAGCCACCTCCGACAACTCGGCCATTTCACAAATCCAAAAACAAACACCTCCCATCTTCGGTGAGATCATCATCCCCACTCAGGAAGCAAAACCAGCTGCTTCAGGGGATGCTGCCCATCCTCCGCCACGACAAGTACCTGCCAAAGTACGCCGTCTTTCCGGTTCATCATCCTGCTCATCTAGCTCCTCCTCTTCATCGTCATCATCGTCGTCGTCATCATCTTCCGGATCATCCCAGCCCGAGAAGGCCATCTCACTGGGTGATTCGGAAACCTACATGATCCCCGAAGTGGAGGACGCCCCAGAGTACCACCCGACTGACAGGATGACAACTATCTTACGAGGAATTCAATCAGCTCAGAAACAACGTGTAATTCTAAACGTGGGAGGTTAAAGGTTTGAAACAAGCAAGACAACCTTACAAAACGACCCAGACTCACTTTTAGCCGCCATGACGAACCAAGATTCCCCCGTTATCCCTTATAACAAAGAGCACGTGCCAATGTACTTTATTGACAGGAACCCCCGGTTCTTTGATTTCATCTTAGACTTTCTACGGGATCCATCTCAAGTGGAGCACATCCTCCCCACAGATAATACCATACTAAAACAGATCTTCGTGGAGGCAAGCTACTATCGCCTAGAGGGATTATGTAATCCTATTAAGAAGAAAAACCAAGTGTTAATGAACAAAGCCTCATTGTGGGACAATTAAAAACTTTTTTATGTGATATGAAACAAACTGTGCCAAGGATTGCGATCTGAGTATAGGTATGTTAATCAGACAATGCTGCTAAAATTCATGTGATAAGTATTAATCTAACTTTGATATATTTATTGGAAAATTGTTGTGGATATTATCATATGTTGTTAATTTATTTTTGTCCTTTAATGTATCTTTGTTGACTATTGAATGTTATGAATTGTATATATTCCTATTACACTCATTAATTTAATGCCAAATGAAGTAATTATACCATGTTTAACTGTTGCAAGTCGTTTTTATTCCCAAAGACTCAGGGAAGCAAGAAACTTGTACATGTACCTACCTTTTAATATTCCCTGGACTAAAGTATAAAACCATTCGAGGACGAATGTTCTTCACATGGGAGGGGGCCGTGTTACGGTTCCCATAATTATTCCAGTCACGTATGGGTGATACTTTCTGTGGAAATACGTAGTATAAGTTAAATCATACTCCCTACAATATATGGGACTTTAGGACGACAAATAATATGTTCTATTAATTGTATATATATCTTATGATAAACCAGTATATTTACCATGTTCATTATTGGGATGAGGTCGGTAATTAGCGTTACCCGAAGTTCCTCGGTATCTTACATAGATATCATTCCCAGATCACGTATTATCTCTTAACGATTATATTTGTATATACAAAGTTCAATCAGCCATAGTAACATGTTTTCGATAGTAGTTACCGATTATCCGCGCCCTAGGGTGCATGCTTTCTTTCGTCGATCCAATCGGCATGGCAGCATAACATGGCTTCTCTGCTCTAACAAAGATGGCGGGTATTTTCACTCTGTCGTGACGTCATAACAATCGAGCCCGACGTCAATATAAACCAGAGCAGATAGTCAGTTTGCAAGTTTGTAACTTCGGCTGTTACAACTCGTATCGCCAGCATGTCTGGGAGCGAGAGCCGCTGGGTAATTACTATTGAACATTAATTAATTAGTGGGAGCTGATGAATTTTGGGATGATATTTTATTTTTTTTCTTTTAATAATTATATTAAATTGTTCTGTGGGAGAAAATTAGTGGGAGGTGAAATAACTCTCCCATAACTATCAATTGTATTGTGAAGGGACTCCCAGTATTTTTGGGAAATACTTTTTATACTTCTGTAAATTTATTTATAATTCCCTAAAACTTAATTCTCCCATTTGAGAATATTTTATTCCCATTTCTAATTGGGAGAGAAATAATATTTCTACGGGAGCAAGAAATAATCATTCAAAGAGATTATGCAAATTAAATACAACAAGCAATAATAAGTTTTTATACATTTAATCCTGACTCAGAGTTCTTTTGTCCAATATACAGAATTGGGAGACCCACACGTTGCATAAGGAAGAAAACTTCTGAACGGCAACAGTTTGAACATATTTTATTGTAATTTATAAATACAATGGGATTGGGCACAAGATCTGAAAACTTATAACGCCTTTTCCCTACATGTAAATTACACATTTAAATCGCCAAAGTTGAACATGAAGTTTTAAAGTATACAATATTTGCAAAAGTTTACAAATCGATGCATTTTTCTGATATATAGATACACTTAATTTTGTACAAATGCATATACTGATACATTTATTAATGCTAACAAGGAAATCTACCAGAATGTTTAATAAATGTTTTCCCCGGATACCTTAATTTTTGCCCGAATACCTTATTTTTTTTGTCCTAATACATACACATGTACTTGTGGATCAATTTTCTATCAGAAATAAAAATAATGGTGCATTTATTCGTGCTTCCTGAAAAGATATTCGAGATTTGATAATTTTCCTTAATATATAGAATAATTAACTTAAAAAAATGAACTTTGAAGAAATACCATAAATAAATACAGATTACTTTGTGAATTCAGAGACATTTTTTGTGAGCTTTTTCAAATACTTAACTGCTGATTTTCAGAACCTGAGGATTAGACCACCTTAAATCTTAAAAAGGATCATGCGCAAACTAAGAGACAACATTGTTTTAAGAAATCAGCCATCAACAGCACAATTGTAGACATGTAAGCTTCTTTTCAGATGACCAAAGATAACATTTCCTAATATGATATCCATAAGCATTTAATAAATCATATCATTATTATTATACCCTGAAAAAGCAAGTGCTAAATGTTTGTAGGCTATAGAACTCTTCAAAGTGTACTGGATGAGATTGCTGGGAAGAACACATGAATGGGAGACTTTCCATTTCAATTACTGATTACCGAAATATATATATATATATATATATATATATATATATATATATATATATATATATATATATATATATATATATATATATGTATAGATATGTATGTATGTATATATATGTAAACCTTGTCCTTTTTATATTGTATTCTAATAATTTAGATTTATTACCCTGACAGACACAGTGACCAAATGAGCATTGTGCTTGGTTGTTGTGACAATGAAAACTGCAATCCCTGGCACTTCTACAGATGTCTGAAAAATGAAGCCAAATTAAAAATAAACCGGAGGCATTTGAATGGAAGCAGATTGTAAACAATCAAGCGTTACAATGACTTGTACTTATTTAGGAATGACTCTAATTCTTGGCCAAATTATTCGAGTATAACCTGGTTTGGGTCAGTTTACGCTTTATAATCCGCGAAACCAGGTTATACTCGAATAATTTGGCCAAGAATTAGAGTCATTCCTTATAATTTAATTTTAAAATCATTAGATAACTATGGGTGTAAAATTTCGTTGCTTTTTATTAGTTCAAATTTGCCGCTCAATAATACAACCGTAGTAACGGAAGTGAGGGGAGGTAAAAACTGATACATAGGCCTAGCTTTTTGTTTGTTTACATGTGGTAAGATCGAATTATTTGAAGTTAAAGGTACATTTATTAAATCTGGAATTTTCCATGAATCCCGAGGACTGGAAATGAGAGGATTGTATGGATACAGATGATTCAGCTGGTTGTCAGGGGTGTGTGTCCCCAAACCAGGTTATACAGAAATAATTTGTGTTCCTTTTTGGATATTAACCAATCAGATACAAACAAAATTAAATTATTTTAAATATTCGAAAATTAAAAACTTTTAGTTCAGGCACGTAGTATCGTTTTTCGTTTTAGAAACGGGGGGATGGGGGGGGGGGGATTGACAACTTATCTGAAAAAAAAACTTTGACAAGCAAAAAAGAAAATTGTCCAAACTTCAAAACCCTGTGTGTGTGTGTGTGTGTGGGGGGGGGGGGGGGGGTAAGGGAAGGGCGGGGGGGGAGTGAATTTTTTTTTTTCATAATCAGATTTTATTAATACATAACCGCATTATCATGACTTAACTATAATGCAACAAAAAGTGGGGACTAACTATTCCTTTCAATGAACATTTTCATCAGTGAAAAGTTATGTTTTGAAAAAAAGAAATGGAGGTGGAGGTTTGGGAGGGGAGCCTCCTCCTCCCCCCCCCCCCCCCCCCGATACTACTTGCCTGTAGTTAGCCAGAGAATCTATGAATTCGATTGTTTAATGAAGAGACGTAAAAACTCAACAATATGATTAAAATATGCAGTATGAAATGTCAAGTTTCCTTCCTTTCCGATTAGGACACACTACAGATGAACATTAAGTTCTTAATTTCAGGATAAATATGAATTCCACTATTACAAACAATCATTAGAGTAACGAGCAATAATGGTATCGGTTTTAGAAGTTTAGTAAAAATTATCCAAGGTACATAAACTTAAATAACTGATGGTAAACTAAAATATGTCAATTATTTTTCTACATTTTCATACAAGGAAAAAGAAATTAAGACATTTTGATAAAAACATTATGTAGGTTACAAACGTTTCTTTAAAAAAAATTGAAAAATGAATTTTTCAAGCTCTTTTCACTTTAATAACACAAAAACATAAAATATACAAGACGATAGTGCAAAAACATCAATCATATTTTTCACAGAGCACACCCAGCACAATCCCTGTTCCATATTGGCCTCTCGTACACTGAATAATATTCAATGTACATTTTAACTTATTTTATCTCATTTTTATTCATCCAACTATAGTCTACCTGACTATTAAAAACTATGAAAGTAGTTTTATATACTAAAATTTCTTGTATAATTCCTTTATTCGATTTACCTAATCGATTATTTTATTACATTGATGAATTATCATAGGTAAGTAAAATGGAACACCCCATCTTTACTCCAGAACCCCTGACCCAGGGGCCATGAATTTCATAATTTTGAAAGAACACCTGCTCTTCATAATCATGCATATAGTTTCTCTGCAAAAAAAACTAAAGAGCAGAAAAGATTTTTCAAAAAATTAATGCTTTTTCAATAGATGATCATGATCAATAGAGCCCCGCCTTAACTAGAGGACCCCTGATCCAGGGGGGGCATGAATTTCACAATTTGGGAAGAAGCACCCTTGCTCATTATATCTAAGCACTTAGTTTCTCTGCTTAATATAGGGAGAGAAGATTTTTGAAGAATTTATGCATTTTCACCTTATGATCTATAAAGTCTACCCTAACTCAGAGAACCTGACCCAGGGGCCATGGATTTCTCAATTTTGGTAGAGGGCTCAATTTTCATTACAAATCATGCCAGAAGTTGACTGCATGATGTCCAGGAGTTATGAAGAAAATTTTTAAAGATTGCTTTAATTTTGATGGTTTTAGCCCCACTCCCCAGTCCCCGATGAGGGGCAGAGATATGAAATCATAACTTTAGTTTCCCTTCACACATAGATGATGTATGCCAGAATTGGTTGAAATTGATTTAATAAGCGGTTCCAGAAAAGAAGCGGAAAATTTTCAAATGCTAACACACGACATCGGACGAAAACACATAGCAGTAGGTTTGCAGTTCCTCCAAAATTCTGAATAACAAATCACAAAATCACCACCACCTTCATTAGAGCAATATATAGGAAAAAGCCGTCTTATCTACAGAATCTTGTTCAAATTAAAAATCAAGCAGTGTGTGTCACTTGAAGTAAGCAGAAAGCCACGCCCCTCTTTATCACATAATTTTTTAAATGTTTTCACTTACAAAAATTCATCCAAGGTTGAGCTTCTGTCAAAATTTTATCACATATAATTTTTTCATCTTGTGTTGAAGATTATGCTAGACAATATTCATTTTACATGCTCTATTGCCAGAAATTGACAAAATTGTTCAATTTTATACTAAAAAAACCCATCACTTCAAAGTACGTTAACTTTGACATTTTGTCGTTCAAATTGCATTGTTCAATATAACTTTTTATCGCCGAGAATGATATTCAAGGTCATGGTCTAGATGATCAATCAGTAATTTCAGAATAATTACTAGGAAATCCATCCATGATACTCGATCTCCATGGGTATTTTGTGTTCCATTTGTGAACCACTTCCCCCAAAACGACTGTAGCTGAATTATGATAAATGTGTATTTGAGAAAATTTGGGCTATAAAAGATCTTAAAAAATTACTGTACCTGCAAACGTGTTGAAATGAAGAACAGACAGAGCGATAAATATAAACCTCATCTTGGCTTGGTATTGCAATGTAAGTTCCTAGTTCTTTCTTATTTCGTGTGCAAGTGAGATAAGATAACTCGTGTGAAGGTTTTCATTATAATATTGCACCAGATATTCTGCATAACTCAAAATAAAGATACCGACATGCATGCATTTTTGTTTAGTATTGCCATTTCTTTACTATAATGACATGCAGCTCTACAACGTTTTCTGTATTGCTATTATAGCTTGTACATTTTAAATGAAGGACACTGGATCTAGTATTCTTTTTATGTCACAGTATATTTAGTAGTTGTGAACGTCGTATATAGTGTCTCCAAAATTTATTTATTTATTTACACGTAAAAAAAGTGAAGATTAAGGACATACGCAACATACCTTACGTACCGATAATTTTTCAAGGTATTCTTAATTTAAGATTATGACGCCATCAGATGTTCGTAAACTAAAAATCAGCATGCATTACCAGGGGGGTTGAAAAGAAATCAATTGATAAAAATTCTTAAATAATTCGAAGAAAAATATTCAAAAATACTAAACATATATTCTAAATGTTTTGTTTATCCAAACTTGTTTTAGAAGAAGTATACAACAGCATATATAGACATTAAAATCTAGCACACAGTTCCTTTAAGTATTGGAACTCTTTAAGTCGCCCGCGTGGGGCAGTGGTTAGAGCGTCTGCTCTAGGGTCGCGGAGTAAGGAGTTGATCCTTACGTCGCGGGTTCGAATCCCACTGTGGGACATGGAGACCGGTCCTTCGGATGAGACCGTATTAACCGAGGTCCCGTGTCGCAGTAGGTGCTGGCACGAAAAAGATCCCTCACTGCTCAATGGCCGTACGTGCCGAGTATAGGACAAAATTTGCAGCTCTCAACCGGCAAGTGGTGGCGTCTCCATATGAGTGAAAAATTCTCGAGAGGGACGTTAAACAGCATACAAACAAAGAAAACAAACTCCAGGGAAAAAGACATTAAAGTTAAAAATACGTTGCGTATATCCTTAAAATTGTAAAACATATGCAGTGGAATGCACAGGCTACGGGAATATACGTATAAGGAAAACACATCGTATCAAAGTAAAACATAAGTATGCATCGAGGATGAAGAAGGTGTATGTTATTAAAATAGAAAATGTTCTGTCATTTGAAAGAAATATCTAATTATATTTACACTTTGTCATAAAAAAATCTAAGAAACCAAATGAAGAAAAAAAATTAGAAGACTAGACTTTAACATAGTTGACATACCAATAAGTTACTACAAAGAGTTGTTGGCATTTGATCGATACAAAAATATTTGACACTATCTGTTAATGCATTAAAAGAAATTACAAATACTTAACAGTACATATCCAGAGGACATTTGTTAAAATACATGTATGTATGTCACTGATCTGAAAGAATTACTAAAGAGAGATATATGCATAAATAGAAAATATGTAAGGAAAACAGTATATTGTAAATCACTTTTTATTCGCAAGAAGATTACGCGATACCATCGGCCCGCGAAAATTTCTCCCGTATTTTTAAGATTATATAGAATAATATCCAAAAATTGTGAAATTTTTGTCTAATAAATACCAAATAAATATATCGGGAAACTTATTAAAATTTTGTCTCGTGAATACTGTGTAAATATCAAATTAATATATCACGAAAATAAGGCGTCCCGAATGATCTACAGTGATGCAAAATCTTGAAATGCCTTCAGAGTTACAATACTAAGACGGATGTATGAATGACCTGAGTTAACTTTGATTATGTAAATAATGGCTTAATCATCCTAGCCATTTGATATTAATCTCATCGGCCCCCGACCCAATATACAAATGTACATCAGCGTCAGAACTTTTCTCCAGGTAACCCTAGCGTCAATTCCATTACACACACGCTGGTTAAGCCATTGTCTCCTAATGTTATATAGCAGCTGTTTTTATTTCTAATATAATCTTACCATAACTCTTTTTTGAAATACAGTTTTTGTCAATTGAGCGGAAATGATCTAATTTATGCGAATGATGTGGGGACACTGACGTTTAGAGTTAGTCATAACTAACCTATTGATATTTTTTTTTCTTTTGATGGACACACGGTGCTTCTCGAAAGTTCTGCACCCCCCACCCCCGACTAATTTATTATTTTAAGAAATAATTTCTATACACAATTACTTCATATGAACTAATTTGAAACAAATTTAGACCCATTATACTGTAGCAAAGTACATGTATTTTGAAAAGGTGCTTTAAAAATATACAGAATATATTTTGTTGAAGTCAGGGTAAACTGCATAATTGTAAGTTACTACTATAAAAATAAAGTTTTTCAGTTGTAGTTTTTACACAATAAACAGAAGTCATTCTTTTGTCCATCTTTATGTCCTTTCATGTGTAATTATTTCACATTTTAATTCCTTCCCTGGAAATTCTAGGTCAATGTCTCCTTCAAAGTTAGCATAAAACATCTTTGGGTATTCAAAAGAAAATGTGTTATGAAAATTTGTGTCTGTTTCCAGAAAACTAGGTAAAATATTTAATTTTCAAGTAGAGACTGTAGGTTTTAAGCATTCTTAAATGATCAAACCATGTCAACTGATGCAAATTAGGAAGGGTGTTTCACAGCCTCAAAGTAGGTCGTGGTGACTCACACTTGGAAGTTTATATGAAGATAACGAACAGTAATCAAGCTCGAAAGGTTCATTGAAACAATACAAATCGGAAGCAGAGCAAACACGGACCTCTAAAAACATCAGAGATGGGATCAGGTGCCATAGAGGAGTAAGCATCCCCTGTCGACCGGTCACACCCTCTGCTCCTTGTCATGATCGGACAAACGGAAAATCCACAGATAATTCAGTGCGAAAATAAGGCCTAACAATTTGTATGAAAAACGTCAGTTTTAAACATTCGACTAAATGAGAGAATGTATTTCCTGACAGTCATTGTATCAACTATAGAGCACATGAATAAGGGAAGTTGACGATAGAAAATTTGAAATCGTATATCATAAAGATTTGTTGTTAATTTTGCCATAAACGTCTTTTTCTAGTAAAATATCCAAATGTGAAGCAGATGTGTCCGACTCTATGATATCTTTTACTTCGAGTTCAGAGGGATATATCAAATAAACGTAGAAATGAAATTTTATATTGTTAATTGATAAAACGACGTCAACATATGTAAATGTTGAATTGATTGATTGATTGTACATGTATGTTGTTTAACGTCCCATTCAAGAATTTTTCACTCATATAGAGACGTCACCATATACCGGTGAAGGGCTTCAAATTTAGACCTTTACTTGGCACTCAGAGCCATTGAGCAGTGAGAGTTCTTTATCGTGACAACGCCTACCGTGACACGGGGCCTCGGTTTTTAAGGTCTCATCCGAAGGACCCGCAACTTTCACTTCAAAGTGCCGTGCGCTTGGCGAAGGAACAGTTGCTACCTATTTCTTATCGACTTAAGTTAGTCGCGGCCGTGATTCGAACACACGACCTTCCGATCACGGAGTGACCGCTCTACCGACTGAGCTACCGTGACGGTAATGTTGAATGAATTGAAGGCCACAGCAAGAGACTTCTTCTTTTCATGTAGAAGTTTTTGAATAAATTCTGCTTCAAGTGAAAACACTCTTTACATGCATAAAGGGACGCAATAAGTACTCATGGGAATTCCGACAGAGCGTTGAAAGATTTGATCTCCAAAAAATACATACTAGATATTGTCAATCAGAAACTAAACATTGTTTTAATATCAACTTTGGTCGCCCGCGTGGCGCAGTGGTTAGAGCGTTTGCTTTAGAGTCGCGGCGTAAGGAGTTGATCCTTACGTCGCGGGTTTGAATCCACTGCGGGACGTGGGGACCGGTCCTTCGGATGAGACCGTATAAACCGAGGTCCCGTGTCACAGTAGGTACTGGCACGAAAAAGATCCCTCACTGCTGAATGGCACTGAGTGCCGAGTATAGGTCAAAATTTGCAGCCCTCCACCGGCAAGTGGTGGCGTCTCCATATGAGTGAAAAATTCTCTCGAGAGACGTTAAACAACAAACAAACAAAAACAAACTAAAATATCAACTTTGGAGTATTTTTGTGTACATTCAGAATGTTTTTAACAAAATAATTTTGCGAATGACCAATGACAAGGTAAGTAAAATTACGAATAACATTTTTGTGTCGCCTGCAGAGCAGAGCAACACTTAGGGATCATTTACCCGGCATCTGTCTGTCTGTGTGTCCGTCTGTCTAGCTGTCCGTCTGACACACCTTATATCTCGAGAACTGTAAGAGGTATGGATTTGATATTTTGCACATATATTGTTTTGCTCTATGGCTTTTGTAAATTACCATGGTTACCTGACCTTGACCTATGACATACTTTTCAAAACAGTTCATAGTGCCGATAAACAGCATACTTCTGACATTTAAGAGGTAAATCTAAGCTATTTAGCATGTGTACTGTTTGACTTCTTTCCACAAATTACCCCGGGTAGTTTAAATTAACTTTTGACTTTTTAATTTTGAGAGGCAGGGATTTTATAATTAGCATTTATACATGTTCATGATACTTGTACTTTGAAACTATGATATTCAGTTACCACACAAACTTATATTTAAATACTATGATAATAGATCGGTATCGGTATCCCACAATGGGTCGTATAGACTGACAATTGTAGTAAAGACAGACTGAAATCTGTTTTGGAGGGATAAAATAATTATTTCTAATAAATTCATTTGAGGGTTGGGGAATCATATTTTCTTTGATTGTCAGATTCTATCCCTGTCTTATACTATTGGATGCATTTTTTCGTTGCAAGCAAATGCATGAACTATCATTCTAGTAGTAAATTAATAGCATCTATTTGCTTATATACAAAATAGATGCCTTTATTTTACGAGAGAAGTATTTTGTTTGAGTCGGGCTCGGCCCGACTGAAGAAGTATATAAAGGCTCGAGTTTGTCATACACCTTCCTTTCTGCTGAACTTTTCAAAGGTAAAGACGTG